ACAAACACAGAGAGATGCTAGATAAACAGAAAGTAGGCTCTGGGAAAGAGACAGACAGACAAAGACAGAGGACTATGAGAGAGCAGGGCTCTGGGAAAGAGGCAGACATAGAGGGAAAAGCCAGGCAGAGCCTCAGAGAGAAGGTGGGGACAGTCACGGGTACCCTGGGCCATGTACACCCTCTCTGGAAAAAGGTGGTCTGAGGGCTTCATGAAATGAGGGCGCTGGAGACCGGGTATCTGTGAACCTTGATGACAACCTCACTGGGGGATGCCCTAGTTGCCCGCCTAGTGTAAGCCAAGCCTGTTCTGGGGGCTGCAGGCACCATCTCAGTTCTTAAAGGACACCTGTGAGGTAGGGGATGGTACCAGCCCGCTGCACAGATGTGGACACCTGAGGAGGTTTCCCACATTATCCAGTGCCCGAGTGGAGGTGCCTCACCCTGTGTGTCCCAAGAGTTGTGTCCCAGGCTCTGTGCTCTGCTCCTCAGGAAGGAATCACCCTCTGCCACCCGTGAACAGCACAGAGCTTGCACTGATGCTCTCACTTCAGATGCATTTAACAGACGGTCCTCTCTGGACCTGGGAGGCAGCACCCCCCTCCTCCTAATGCAGAGCCATGTATGTCCCGGGCCCAGGAAGCACTGACCCGGATGCACGCACGCCAAGCTCCAGCCTCGGGCTCCAGTGCACCTTTGTATTTCTTTCTCTTGCTCCAAAACAGCAGAATCCTTTTGAGCAAAAGCTCTCTTATCTAAAAACGGTAGCAAACGACACAGACATCTCTCGGTTGGACATATCTGCTTGTCTCTCTGTTCTCCGAGTACATTTGATCCAATCGAGGTCAACTTGCCGTCCTGCCCGGCACCCGGATGCAGCACATACAATGGGAAAGCTGAGTCTACGTCAGACGCACACTGCTTTAGTGAGAAGTGGGCAGGGTGGCTTCAAAACAAGTCGCATGCCACTTAATTAACCGTGGTTCCTCCTAACCCAGGTGCCGTCAAGTCCAGCTCAAGGTGAGCCAGTGTGTCAGGAGAATGATGCTCCGTTCGGTTGCCAACAGCTGGATTTCTGGTGCTTCTCTTTTGAAGAAACTCAGTGTAGATTTGAACCTCCAACCTTTTGGTTGGCAGTCGAGCATCTAACTTTTGGTACCACCAAAAACCTCATCTTTTGCTGGCCCTAGTCAGGGTCTGCCAGGACTGTGGAATGACGGTCAAGCACTGTGACAGTGTGCCCCAGGGCTCCACGTTCTCCGTCTGCCCCTGAACACTTCTCCTTCCTCTCCTTCTCTGCCAGTCTGTGGGTCCCACTTAGATGTCATCACCGTGTTTGCTGGAGGGGTGCTGGGCCGCCACAGGCTGACCACTTCTCGCACAGGCTGCAAACAAGCAGGGAATCATGGGCAGGTGACCCTCACAGCGAGGAGATGCTGCCTTCAATGGTGGTCCCGTGCGAGAAGTCCACCCCTGATGCAAAGCCACAGTTCACTCTGAGAAAAGGATGACCTAGTTCATTCATCCCAGTTCTCAGGGGGGCACAAGATGGTAAAGACATAAACACTTAAAAGAGCATTATGTTGAGTGAAATAATCCAGTCTCAAAAGGACAAATACTGCATAAGAACACTATTGTTCTTATAATAGAACACTATTGTTCTACTGTTCTTAAACAGAAGGCTAACTAATAAACGATGTATGAGAACCCAAAGGGGGAAGGGGTGGGAGCGGAGGGGTGAGGTTGGGTAGGGGTGAAACCACAGGGTTGCACAGTTTGGTGGGTGGAGGGAGGAGGGAAGGAAATGGGAAGGAACCGAGTAAAAAGACAGGGTAATGATGAGCAAGGTCCAATAGTAATTAAATATACAAAACATAATGGAGGAGAACGATTGTATGAAACACAATTTAAATGAAGAATAGTTTGAAACACAATGTATATAAACTTTGTAAGCAAACCAATTAAAAAGAGAGAGGTCACCACAACAAGATAAAGGTAAATAATCCAATAGAAAAATGAGCACAGGATATGAACAGACACTTCACCAAAGACGACATTCAGATGGCTAACAAGCACATGAAGAAATATTCAAAATCCCTAGCTCTAAGAGAGATGCAGATTAAAACAAATATGAGGTATCATCTCATCCCAGTCAGAATAGCAAAATTTAATAGAACAGCAAGCAACAAATGCTGGCGAGGTTGTGGAGAAACTGGAACCCTTATTCGCTGTTGGTGGGAGTGTAAAATGGTGCAACCACTATGGAAGGCTATATGGCGTTTTCTCAAAAAGTTGCAAATAGATACCATTTGACCCAGCAACTCCACTACTGGGAATATACCCTAAAGAGACCATAACTGACATCCAAGCAGATATATGCACACCCATGTTTATTGTGGCTTTGTTCACAATAGCAAGGAATTGGAAAAAACCTAAGTGCCCATCAACAAATGAATGGATAGAGAAGCTGTGGTATTTCACACAGTGGAATACTGCGCTGCATTGAAAAACAAGGAACTCATGCAGTATTATTCGAAATGGATGACCCTGGAGGACATTATGCTGAGTGAAGTATCTCAATCACAAAAGGACAAATACTGCATGGTGCTACTGTTGTAAAACAGGATTGACATGGAGGTTGGGGGGAGACTGAGAAAGATGGGTCCAATAATGCATACTGCATTGAAACAGATGAGGGAGAAAACTGTTTAAAAGGGATATGTGATTAGGTATTTTTGTCATGACAGGAGTCTAGAGCGAAGGCTACATGGTGGAGTGGACCTGGGGGAGGGTTTGTAAAACAATGAAAGACTCTTACCATCCCAAGAGGGTAGTGTACTGGGGGGAGGGTTGGGAGGGAAGAAAAGTGCAACAAAATGACTGGAAACCCAAAGTCTCTGTAAATTTTCATTAAAATTAATAATAAACTTTTTTTAAAAAAGAGAGTGGCAAGAATGCATTAAAAGTAATTTTAAAAACCAGTGCCCACGAGAGGAAGAGGAGGCTTCACTCAGAGTCTAGGCTAGAAACAAGAAATAGAACAGGACTGAGAAGATTTGTGTGGACAAACAGAAACAGGTGTAGAAAACCACATAAACTCAGCGTTTTAGAAATGACAGCCAGAAGCATGTGCCCAAGGCTTTAGGATTGCAGTTAACACCACGTGTATCTAAGTGATGACTGGAATCAGCATTAGGCCTTGCGGGGAAGGAGCAAGGTAAGTAACAGAAGCGTTTACCTGAAAACGGGTACACTCTCTCAGCACAAAACAGACCCCAAGGTCCAGATCACACTCAGGAAGATTCCTGAGAATCCCTGCGCTGTTCCCCCCAAGACACTTAAGCTATGTTAGCTGAAATCTGCCCTCCTCAATCTCCTTCTTCCCCTGGACAGACACATAAGGCCATGGGGCTGGGGTCTTGAAGTGCATCAGAAGTGAAGTCAGCTGTTGATGCCCTCATACCAAATCAAGAAAGTCCCCGTGAGATCCTGGGTGCCGCTGACCAGGACAGGGCACAGGCTTCGTGGCTACACCTCACAGCGGCTCAGACACGGAGCACTTGACACACGGTAACTCGCACCATCTCTCCGCCACACCACGAGGAAGGGAAGCACCGTTACCAAATCCATCACAGAGACGAGGAAAGGGAGATGCAGAGAGGTGAAGAAGCTTGTCTAAGTCACACAGCTCTCGAGATGGAACCAGCATTTGGACCCAGTACCAGCACCCGTAGGAGCCCTGGTGGTGCAGTGGCTTAGTGCTTGCCTGCTTTCCAACAGGTTTGAGCTCACCAGCTCCTCTGAGGGAGAAAGCCGTGGCGGTTTTGATGACAGCCGTGGAACCTCAGAGGACAACTCTGTTGCACAGGGACGCTGAGTTAGAATTGACCCGCCAACAGTGGATTTGGGATTTGTTGTTGTTGTTCTTGACCACATCCCAGGCTCTCACCTACAGACTTCCTATATGGAAGGAGGCCTGAGCAAAATTCTAGAATGTTCTACTGTGGGAGGCGAGAGCCACAAGTAGCTGTGACAGGCAAAAGGTGGACTTTATACTAAAATTTAGATTACTAGCATTAAGGTAAAAGAAATACAACGAAAGGAAGACTTTCCTATAATTTTTAAAGAATTGAAGTTAAACTTTTCCTGACTGCACAAGTGTGTTGGTGAGGGGTTTCTTAAAGGGGACACATTTTGCACTGAGGCTTGTTCCTATCCTTCAGGTTTGAGGCCAGAAGATTTCCACATCTATTCTCTAAGACTGTGGAGGCACAGTAGAGGCACGTAACTGGCCATCCTGCTCTGCTCTGCCCACAACGTGGGGCCTCCACCATCTTATTTTGCCTTCCTCATCTCTAGGGAGTTCTCACCCTGGACAGAAGGTGGGCTGTGGTGGAAGGGACAGGAGGGGCTGGCCAGATCACTCCACAGGGCGATGAACTCTGAGAAGACATGCTCTGTCGGTCAATAGGTCCTTGTACAGGGCCAGACTTCCAGCTGAGGGTCCCTGAGGGTCCTCCTCCGCCTGCTGCCCAGTCTGTCCCGGGGAGGATGACCGCAGCAAAAGGCAGTGGTCAGCCTCAGAGGAGCAGAGCTCCTGGGTTCTGACTACCTGCTTCTGCCTTCAGGATTTCAACACCTCAATTCTCTGCAACAAACAGCCCTCTGAGGAAAGAGGTTGGCAGGAGGGAATGACCCACAGCTGACCCAACTGTGGAGCAGCTAATCTTGTGGGCACTAGAAGGTCATGAAGGACCTGGGTTCCTTCAGAAGCCTGGCCCAGGCCCAGGCCCCACACAAGTGTGTGATGTGTTTGTTGGGGAGAAGGTGGTGAATGGGGACAAGCAGAGTTAGAGGACGGCCTGGGAGCAGGGTCACTGTTGGAGGCAGGCCCTTGGAAATACACCCCAGATCCCCGTTCACCCTTGAAGGACCACGCGGCCTCTGTCGGACGAGCCCCCCTGCCCTCATCACACAAGAAGGAGCCGCACCCCCTACTCACCTACGCAGTTATCACAAAGGCTACAGTGGGAGGCTCGAGGGGGCCGGAAAATCTTGCAGGTGAAACAGTACTTGAGTTTCACAGTCTGCCCGTTGATGATGACCTCTTTGGTTCTGGGAGGTGGGCGGTACCCCCCTGAACTGGTGCCGTTGGCGATATCTGCAGAGAGAAGACATACACCCTTAAAAGGATCCCTGACCAATGGCCCTGTCTGCCCGCATCTGCCAACCCAGAATGACCACGGGATGCAGAAGGGACACACCAGTCCCAGAGAGACTGGTGTCTGGTGGCCCCCAAATCCATGCTCCTTGTCTCCACTGCTGAGGGACAGGACAGGCCTCACCCAGGTGGACATGGCCCTCTCACAGCATCCTTGTCCAGGATTAGGTTCACAACTGGGCTGAGGGAAGAAAAACAAGGACCAGAGGGCGTTCTGAAGACACTGCGAGCCCAAAGATGGTGCCTCTCTGGCGGTTCGAAGCCACCGGAGGCTCTGAGGGAGAAAGTTGGACAATCTCTCTCTACCATTTATAACCTCTTGAAAGCCCACAGGAGGGTGAGCTCTGAATCAGTTCTGACTCCATGGCAACGAGTTTTGAGTGCAGCCGGGCGCTGCACAGAGGTGAGGACAGTGACACTTCCTCTCACATACTTTGGGCATGTTCTCACAAGTGGCCGCTCTCTGGGGAAGGTCACTGTGCATGGTAAAGGAGAAGGTCCGGGATGGCAAGGTGAGACCTGGTGGCTGCACCAGAGGGTCGAGTACAGGAGAGTCTGTGAGGACAGCACTGGAGCTGGTGGGGTTTTGCTCTGTTGTGTGTGGGGTAAAGAAAAGTAGAAGGTGACAACATCAACAACAACATCAACAAGGGCAAACAGACGACAAGGTGCCCCCTGTGAGCTTAGGGACACGAGGCAGCTATTTCCCTCCAAGTGAAGTCCTGGGGTTGGTGGAAGCTACGCAAATTGCACCTGGCTGCTATGCCAAACCCACTTTCTGATTTTTTTTTTCCTCTTTTGTGTACCACTGAATTGGATCTGACTGGGACAGGAGGAGATTGCCCCTCCTTCTCCAGTGGGGCATCTGGTGGATTTGAACCATAAGCCTTCGGGACTGCAGCACAGCTTCTTGCTATTAGACCACCAGAGCTCCCTTCAAACCCACTTTCTGAAAGGTAGGTCATCTTCCTTCCTGTATGTCTAACCACATGCAGAGTGTCTAACCACAGCCAAGGGTGCGAACAATGACACGGCCTTCAACAGGTGAACTGATCAACACCGTGTGGCACGTGGACATGACAGACTACAGCTCAGCCATGGTGGAAACAATGGCCTGGTGATGCCACCAGGCGGATGGACATCAAGACAGGGCCAACAACAGCAAAGCCTAAAACTCCACTGGTTTTCATTTATTTTTTATTTTATTTTAATGAAACTTTTACAGAAAAGTTAGATTTTTATCCATTCATTGTTGTACACTTTCCTCCCTCCTCCAGTCCACTTTTTCTTAAAAACAAAAATCTTCATTCATTGTTGCACAATTTCCTCCCTCTTGCAACCCCTAGTCCACTTTGCAATGCACCTCTTACTCTGGACTGTTGTCATACAAATAATGCCTTTTATAGATTCCTTTTAAACAGTCTTTCCTTCATCCGTTCCAATACATCTAGCCCTTCATCATCTAGCCCTTCTTTTACTAGCTTCCCCCCAGCCTCCCATGTTAGTCCTGTTCTATAACAGTGGTAGTTTTTGTATTTTCATGACTGAGATATTTCACTCAGCATAATGTCCTCCAGAAACATCCACGTTGTGTTTTGTTAGTTCCTTGTTTTTCAGTGTTGCATAGTATTCCACTGTGTCAATGTACCGACTCCATTATTGTTTAATTGATTCCAACTCACAGCCACTAAGTAGGACAGAGTGGGAGTGTCTATTAGGTTTCCACGGTTGTAATCTTTATACAAGCAGACAGATTGTCACAACTTTCTCAGGTGGAACAGCTGGAAGGTTCAAACGAAGACCTTCTGGTTAGCAGCCAAGCCTGTTAACCGCTCCATCAACACGGCTCCCAAGTCAGCTGCAGTCAATAAAGATTATAGGCTCTCATCTCTATGCAACATGCAAGGACATAGCCACCAGCATTGATTAGTAGTTAGTTGGAACAAGGGGGAAGAATGGGAAGTTTTGATTGGGGCCATAGAACTTTAGTTCAAATAGTGCAATAATTAAGGAAAGGAAAGTGAAGTTCATTATACAACTTGAAGACAATAATCAATGCCATTGAATTGTATATGGAGAAATTGTTGAGATGGTGTCATCAACTGAACTGTGTCCTTCAAAATACGTGTGGCCTTGGCTGAACCTTGCTTCTCAGAGGCTTGTTAGACAGGCAATGATGCATGGTGGTTCTATAATGATGCTTGGTATCCTCCCACAGCTCATCTGTCATGATGATATCAAGAATGTCATCCACAAAGAATCCAAAAGGTCATTATAAAGACAGAGGAGGAAAAAATGACAGAGAAGGATGTCAGAAGAGACTCTGAATATTACACTAGAGCACTGAGAAGCCAAGGCAAAGGGAAGAAAGCAAGACGTTAAGGAGCTGAACATAAGATTTCAAAGGGCAGCGTGGGAAGACAAAGCAAAGTAGTATAATGAAATGTGCAAAGAGCTGGAGTCAGAAAATGAAAAGGGCCAAACTCACTTGGTTGAACTTGCTCGTCTTAAGCTGAAGGAACTAAAGAATAAATTCAAACCTCGAGTTGCAATACTTAAGGATGCTATGGGCAGAATAGTGAATAATTCAAGAAGCATTAAAAGAAGATTGAAGGAGTATACAGAGTCACTGTACCAGAAAGAATTGGCTGACACAGAAGAATTTAAAGAAATAAAGTATGATCAAGAGGCAATGGTGATGAAGGAAGTTCAGGCTGTTCTGAAGGAATTGATGAAATACCAACTGACATATTTCAACAAACAGATGCTGCTGTGGACATGTTTACCAAGTTGTGCCAAGAAATGAAGAGGAAAGCTAACTGGGCAACTGGCCAGAAGAGAGTCATATTTAGTTTCCATTCCAGATAAAAGGTGGCCTGACAGAGTGTGGAAATTTTAAAGCAATATCAATAATATCACACGAAAGCAAAATTCCTACTGAAGATTATCCAAAAACGATAGGGACATTACATTGACAGAGGACTAACAGAAACACAAGTTGCTTTTAGAAGAGGCTGTGGCACCAAAGACTAATATCTCACCAATGTCAGATGGATCTTTGCTGAAAGCAAAGAGTGTCAGAGGACTGTCTCTCTGTGTTTCATTGACTCTGCAAACATATTTGACTGTGCGGATCACAATAAATTGTGATTAATCTTGAGAAGTATGGGAATCCTTGCTCATGTAAAACCTATACTTGGACCAGGAAACAGTCCTCAGAATAGGGCAAGCAAATACTGCATAGTTCAAAATTGGGAAAGGAGTGTGTCAGGGATGTATCCTGTCTCTATACCTTTTCAGGCTGTATGCAGAGTAGATCATTCGAGAGACTAGACTTTATAAAGAACAGTGCAGCATCAGGTTGGAGGGAAGACTCATCAACTACATGTGTTATGCAGATGACACAGCTTTGCCAGCTGAAACTGAGGAGATCTTGAAACATTTGTTGTAGAAGGCCATGACTGTAGTCTTCAAAATGAACTGAAGCTCAACATCAAGACGACAAAGATTCTCACCACTGGGCCAAATGGCAGCACCATGATAGATGGAGAGGAGATTGAGGTTGTTAACAATTTCAACTTGCTCGGTTCCTAATCAACACTCTTGGCACCAGCAGCCAGGAAATAAATAAAGAATTGCATTAGGGAAATCTGCTGTCAGGGACCTCTCCAAAGTGCGAAAGAGCAATGATGTCAGTCTAGAGACCAAGGTGTGTCTGATTCAGGCGATGGTCTCTGCAATTACTTGCTATGTATCAGAGCTGGACAATGACCAAGGGTGACAGAAGAAGAACTGATGCCTTTGAGTTGCAGTGCTGAAGAAGAGTTTTGAACATACCATGGAGTGCTAAGAGAACTAACTGGTTTGTCTTGAAGAAGGTGAAATTACACTGTTCCTTGAGTAAGGACATGAAGCTCTGTCTCACGTACTTTGAGCACATGGCTGGAAGGGACCAGTCCTTAGAGAAGGACATCATGCTTAGAAAGGTAGAGAGGGCAGGAGAGGAAGACCGCGGACAAGATGGATTAATGCAGTAACTGCTGTAATCGGGCTAGGTGTGTCAGATACAGTGAGCCTGACTCAGAATAGGGCAGGGTACACTGGGTTGTTATGAGCTGTGGGTGATTCAATGGCATGTAACAACAAAAGTGGTATTTCTATTATAGCAGCACTAGGTAACTAAGACCATATATTTTAAAGATATACATATTTTCACCACCTCAAAAGAGAACAAAAATGCACAGGGGGAAAAAAATCTCAAGTCATAAAAGGTGTCGATTAGGAATTACTCTTTTACATAAGATGTGGATTAAGACTCACGTTTTTACCAACAAAATTTGGAGCAGTGGCATTCTCTGGGGCATTTACACGCCATGAACAATTTGGCAGCTAAGAGACGGCCCGCCAGAGGGGAAGGAACCTTTGCGAATAGTGGCAGTGATGAAAAAAGCAGACCCGTACTCAGAGCAAAGGAAAAAGGAAAATGTGGTTTGTTTCACGCCTAAGTCTTCTTGACAACCAGTAGCAGCCCCACTCTCATGGTACGCTTGAGTTATGACGCACACATTTACGGCCCTCTGATTTTGGGAGCTCTGCACGACTCTGGCAGCTTGGATTCAATCTCCTTGCAGGGGATTCACATTGCAGAGTCAGCCGTGAGTCTGTTCAGAAGCAGTGAGTCTGAACTTTTACCTAAATGCAATGTCATAGCCTGCGATCTGTTGACCAAATTCCCAGATTTGAATTCACTGCTGACGCTTCCTGGGGTTTCTGACGCTGTGAATCACACTGGAGGACACAGCTCATCTCTTTCCTACGGATATGAACCATCAGCAACACTCAGATTTGGAGTTCGCGTAAAATAATGGAAACTGGGGAGAAGGGAAGAGATATTACATTTACATCACAACTGACTTATGATGGAATCCTCAGAAGGGAAT